GTTTAAAGAGAGGGTTAAAGAATGGAGGCCAGTTGCAGTGGCTCATGCCTGTAATCATTGCACTTTGGAAGGCCGAGGTGGGCAATCACCTAATGTCAGGAGTTCAAGACCAGCCTGGCCAACATGGTGAAACCCTGTCTCTACTAAAAATACAAAAATTAGCCAGGCATGGTGGTGGCACATGCCTATAATCCCAGCTACCCACGAGGCTGAGGCAGTAGAATCTCTTGAAACTGGGAGGCGGAGGTTCCAGTGAACAAAGCTTGAGCCACTGCCGTCCAGCGTGGGCAGCAGATTGCGACTCTGTCTCAAAAAAAAACAAAAGAAAGAAAAAAGAAAAAAGAATGGGAGGGCCACAAGTAGGAGATGCTGATAAGGATGGATTATTCCAAAGAAGGGAAGTATGGGCTGAGCACAGAGAAACAGAAAACCAGAGAGTATTCAGACAGCATGTGAGTTTAGTGTTAATATGTGAGAAGATAATGTAAGAAAAGGAACTATGAGAAATAAAGGTGTACAGGTCAAGGCTGATCATAAGAACCTGTATGACATAAAAAGAGCTATGGATTTTACTCTGTACAATGTCAGTGTATTTAAATGTCTTAAGTATTTTCTTCTTCGTAAGTAATATTCAATTCATCAAAGTTAATAATGCAAAGGCCTATCTTACTTTAAGTACTTAAATTTATATTATATGACTTGTCATTTTATTTATACATCTAGTAATTTGTATTTAACTTAGAATTATTTTCAGGGGGATCTTTGATTAATGATCGAACAGCTCACATGCCTCAAATTAATTCTTTCAAATCAGTTTTATAAAGGTGATTAGTGAAACTTCCTTTGATGTTTCATGTTGCATGTATATATTAACATATTTGATTTTATTTTTAAACATTCCAAATACCTGAATGAACACATTTAATCACCCCACTAAACAAAATCCTCCCAAAAATTTAAATGGCTCTCATAAATTTATTAAATTGAACCACATTCAGTACCCTTAAATATCCAATAGCATTTGCAATTAGATTTTTCTTATACTTTTTAAGAAGTATATTTTAAAAAATTTAAGCATATAAAAAGCAGGAATAATAGTATAACAAGCTTCCATGTTCCCTTCACCAACTTCAACAACTGTAAACTCATGGCCAATCTTGTTTTATCTCTACCCTCACTCACTTGCCTCTTATACTATTTTGAAACTAATAAAAAGCATCATATAATTTCAACTACAAATATTTCAGTAGGTATTCCTAGAAAAATAGATTGTGTATTAATATAAAATATCAAGTCAGTGTTCTAGTTTCCAATGATCTCTTACAACATGTATATGTTTTAAGTTGTTTGAATAAGAATCCAAATTATTCACATCTTTGTTGGCATATATGTTTATATATGTTTTATGTTTTGTTATTCTTTGAGACAGAGTCTTGCTCTGTCATCCAGGCTCGAGTACAGTTGTACGATCTTGGTTCACTGCAACCTCCATCTCCTGGATTCAGTAGATTCTTGTGCCTCAGCCTCCCTGGTAGCTGAGATTACAGGCATCTGCCACCACACTCGGCTAATTTTTGTATTTTTAGTAGATACAGGGTTTCACCATGTTGGCCAGGCTGGTCTCAAACTCCTGACCTCAGATGATTCACCCACCTCAGCCTCCCAAAGTGCTGGGATTACAAGCATGAGCCACCACACCAGGCCCATTATTCTCTTTTAAGATATAGGTTCACTCCCCATGTCTTTTTTTTTTTTTTTAATTATTTGCAATTTATTTGTTGAGGAAATCAAGTTGTTTGTGGATACTATAGTTCCCCATCATCTAGATTTTGCTGATTACTCTCTATAATATAGCTATGTGTTCTTCTCTCCTCTGTATTTCCTATAAATTGACAGTGGGAGGTAGAGGTGGCTTGATCAAATTTAGTTCTCTTTATTTTTTTGGTGTATTCTTTTATCAGGAACTGATAATGTTTGCTTGACTTTCCTTTTTTGATGTGAGCAGCCATTGACACTCAATACCTAGACTCCTTAACGTTTCAACTAAAATTTAGAAAGTCTAAACCACATTTTAAATTGATGTGGCAAGTCTAATTGAATATTCACTAATGTAACAAATCTCTTAAATATTACAAATACTTAAAAAATTTGAATGTATATATATTGTCCCAATGGTTATAAAATTTATTCCACAAATTGCTTTTACTAAAAGTTTAGCTTATTCCATCATGTCTGTATTTAATTCTGAATGTTCCAAGGATGAAAAAGACTCTCTAAAGAAACAAGTGTCTTGTCATGACCAATTTAATGAGTTAATTAACAGGGCCTTTATACTTACTCAAATAGAAAGCTAAGCATATATAAGTCAAATTTTTAATTTTCTATTTTTAAAGTGACTTTATTAGATTGACAGACTTTACCTATGTTTACCATCTCAGGTAGAGACTGAGACAGATATCCATGACAGTTCTTCCTGAGTTATAGGTGTATCCATTTTATAGTTTTAGTGATTAAAAAGGCCCACATTCTTCAAATGGGGTTAGTTTTGCAACCAGCAACTCTTCTTCAAGTAATTATCTTTCCTAAGTCTTTAAGCAGTTTGATTATTGGACATGAGAGTAATATAATCATATTTTTGTGTTAGAAAGATGGCAAAAGTTGGAGAAGAGACTCTCAGGATAGGGAAGAGAAGGAGTAATTCTGATTATTAGAACACTGACCAGATGGCTACTGCAAAAGTTGATTCTAGAGATAATATAATCCAATTTTTGTGTCTAGCAGGAGAGGGGAAAATGGAAGAGGGAAGTGAATTAGTATGGGGATCTTAATGATTGATTTGACATGACTGAAGATGAGTGAAAAACAACGAATGAGTTGTGTGATGGATATGTGAATTGTGGTGCCATCCAACAAGAAAAGAAACCTAATTGGGAGAGGAGGTTTAGGCTGGGCTAAAACAGAGAAACCTCAGTTTCTGAGATGTTAATACAGAACTGGCTGTAGGACACCCACTCAGAAGAGAAACCTGGGCTAGAGATTTCAACATGGAATTTGCTAACATTAAGGTCATATATAAAGCTGTGGGGGTATAGAAAATCATTTATGAAAAACTGCAAAGTGAAAAAAAAAGAGAACCAAGACCAGAACACAACATAACATCATCACTTAAAAAGAAAGTCAAAAGAAAATAAACCACAAAGAAAATTGTGGAGTAGTGGCCAGAGAGACAAGAAGTGAGCCAGGAGCTATTTGTCATGTAAACAAACAAAAAAGACTCAATGAGGGCAAAATGGTCAATACCATCAAGGGCCAGAAAGCAGTCGAGTAAGATGCAGTCTGAGGCGGCTCAGTGGATTTGGTAGCTAATATTTTTAAGAATAGTTTCAGGGAAGAAGTGGCAATAGAGGAAAGATTGCAGTGGGGGAAGAAATGCATGGGAGGAGAGGAAGTAGAGTCAGTGAATAAAGACAACTCTTTCTTAGCTCGGCTGGTTAAAGGAGGAATATCTTATGGTAATGTGAAGAATTCACAGAGGTAAAGTGAAGTGTTTGTGTCTTACGGATGCCAGTAACGGGCTGAGAGAGAAAACAAAGCATGAGAGATTTAAGGGCAAAGAGTGAAGTAAGAAGAATATAAGTAATAAAGCAACGCATGGAAGAAAGTGGGTAATTGATGGAGTAAAATTACTGAGAATTCAGATGAAATTCAGAACACAGTTGCAGAGAGTAGGGAGAAGGTAAGGACGGGTGTAACTGCAGATGAGTTTGTGGGTTGAGGAAATGTATTTTCTCAAGAGAGTTCACACCTAATGACCTGTTTTATCAGTGAAATAAGAAACAAGGTCATCTGATTATAGGGAAAAGAGAGGAATGGCATACTGAAGAAAGTGGTAAACATTTTTAATAGGTATGGAGAGAGACAATGCAAGAGACAGCTGACTACAAAGAAAGAGTGATGAGATTATAGAATAGCAGAGGGAGATACAGCTGAAACTGAATATCAATTGTTTGTAATGTCCAGAGTCAGTAAAATTGACAGCAGTTTTCTCCAGCTGTGTTTAGGAATCAACCTGCGAGGAATAGAAAATATAAATGGTTATATACATAATTAGGGATTTGTGGGGCCCAGATATTGATAATGTTATTAAGAGCAGTTGGAGTGAAGCCATTGGAATGAAGCACCTTGGAGGACAGGGTGATAAACATAAAGCCAAAAGAAACCATCTGGAGAAAAGGAAGGAGTCAGGGATTGGAACCATATAATTCCCTCTCTCTTTTATTTTTTCTGTGAGACAGAATCTTGCCCTGTTGCACAGGCTAGAGTGCAGTGGCTCGATCTCAACTCACTGCAACCCCCACCTCCCAGGATCAAGTGATTCTCCCACCTCAGCCTCCTGAGTGTGCACTACCATGCCAGGCTAATTTTTTGTATTGGGTAGGTGCAAAAGTAATTGTGGCTTTTACTATTAATTTTATGGCAAAAACCATAATTACTTTTGCACCAATCTATTATTTTTAGGACAGAGGGTGTTTTGCCACGTTGGCCAGAATGGTCTGGAACTCCTGCCTTCAAGTGATCCATCTGCCTCAGCTTCTTCCCAAACTGCTGGGATTACAGGCATGAGCCATGGTGCCCAGCCCTAGATCTAATTCTCTTTTGTATATGTACCAAAGAACCAATCAAATGCCCTCATAATTTCAGAATTGAAGTGTTAATTTACTGTCAATTTAGTGAAAGCATATTACCCCCCAGAAGCAATGAATTAATTGTATGAGCCTACTTTGAATGAATGGTGCTATGCTCGTTTCCCAGTTCCCATTTTTTTCACAAAAGCAGCATAAATATAAGGCTAAAGCCTATGCTAATGATGTCTGAAGCCTTAAATCAGAGCAAATGTTCAAGAGAAAAGAATAATTCACAAAATAATCCTTTTTCCCTTTTTCATTGTAAGGTGAAAACCTACTTGTTCCATGTTCACTGTTCCTCTTTCTTGTTTTCAGAAGTCCTGTCAATGAAGATAATCAAGATGGTGTCATGCACTCTGATGGTAAATGGCAAAACATATTTTATTTATTTATTTGTAAAATCAGGTACAGAAGTTTGAGCTAATCTTTTTTTTTTTTTTTTTGAGACACAGTCTTGCTCCGTCGCCAGGCGCCGGGCTGGAGTGCAGTGGCGCAATCTCGGCTCACTGCAACTTCCGCCTCCCAGGTTCAAGCAATTCTCCTGCCTCAGCCTCCCGAGTAGCTGGGACTACAGGCCTGTGCCACCATGTCCAGCTAATTTTTATATTTTTAGTAGAGATAGGGTTTCACCATGTTGGCCAGGATGGTCTTGATCTCTTGACCTAGTGATCTGGCCACCTCAGCCTCCCAAAGTGAGCTAATCATTCTTATAGGCTCATTAATGGGTCATTGTCATCATTGGTCTGTGCAAGACCCCTCTCTTGTTTTATTTGTTGATTCCTTTTTATCCTCATGACTCACTTCCTTTATCCTTGTTTCTGTTCCTTCCTTCCTACAAATATTCTAACATATTTAATGTGTATGTGTGTTTGCACAAATTCCTCACATATTGTGACATGTATGCATGTATTTAGTTCACGTAAAGAGTATATTATAGGTTTCTCTAGGTTTTTTGTACAATCAGCATGATGTGGTTTTGGGGCCCATCCATATCACTTAGTGTTCTGTTGCTGTTAACGACTACACATTGTAATAAAAGGAGTTCCTTTATATTACAGACATCAATGTCATGTCAACTTCAAACAATGCAAATATCTTCTCCGATTCAGTCTGTTGTCTATTAGCTTAGCCCATGCTGTCCTTCATTGAACATAAATAAAGTTTTATATAATCAAATTCATTAATTTTGCTTTGTAATTTATGTTAAGTTATTTAAGAAGTCCTTTTTCCTAGAAAATAAAAGTGTTCTCATTTTTTTTCTGTAGACTTTATCACATAATTATATTTAGGTCTTTGATCTCTTTGCAGTTCCTTTTGAGGAGGTGGTAGAAATCCAGAATTGTTCCCTCATGTATGGAGCCAGTTTTCTCCTTACTGTACTCTAAACAATCCACCCTTTTCTCATTAATTTATAGTGCTACCTTTATATTATATCAGCTCAATGTGTGTGTATGTGTATATTATGGCTGTTTTATGTACATTTGTGTATGTTACTGAATTCTCTGCTCTATTCCATTGATCTATTTGTTCTTATACCAACACCACACTGTTTTTCTTATTGATATTATTATATTATTGCTCTTAATATTAGATTATGTTTCAATATTCAGTAATTATTTTTGATATTACAATGAACTCTTGAGCATTAAATTTTTTAATCCAATTACCTTGAAAACAAATCCTTGGGAACTAACAAGTAAAAAGGTGTGAAACTGATTTTTTTAATACAGCATGTTCCATACAAGCCCATAAAACCAAAAGACATCCCTTTTCATAAAGGGAATAGTGTATTAATTATTTCTTGGCCTTTGCATTATTTTATGAAAGCCAGTGAAATAATTTTATAATTAAGTCACCAGCATCAAAAAGGCCATAGTAAAGATCTAAAGTATATATTTTGTTTTTTATTTCTATATTTTTGCTAAAGCTTAAGTTCTGTTAGATTATGAACTATTTTGGATATTATTATATTATATCCAATAATCTTATATTAAAGTGCTTCCTTATTATAAATGCATTAAATTTCATTTTTTTAATCTTTTAGGTGCTGGAAATCTTGATGAGGTCAGATTTCTTTTTTTCTCATTTTATATTAATATAATTAGAATATTTAACAAGTATTATGATTCACTCCCTATTGGTACAGACTAAAACAAAGAAAATTCTTATGTGTAATGATATTTTTCCATTTCTAATCTTATTTCATCTAAAATGCTTAAGACATTACACACCAGTCATCACACTGACTCATCAGAATGCTGTAGTGCTGAACATAAACTTAAGTCTGACTGCACATCTGATTTATATAGCAAGATAAAAAAAAATCTTTCTGTTTTTGCTTTCCCAGTCTATTTCTAAAGAGGAAAGAAAATATTTTAAGCAAGCCAAACTTCCATACACTTAAATTACATAAACTGACAAATAGTTGTTTTACTGAGTATTTGAATTATTCTTTCAAAAATAATCACAATATGGTTTCTTTAAATATTTATTCCTCTGGAGCATTTAATATGTGGTTCAAATTTTAAAAATTTGTATTTTTGCCTTTATTTTAAGCCTAAGAATTATAGTATATGTACGTTAACTTTTTAAATAATAAAAATTAATCATCATCAATGTTTTTCTTTACAGGAACAAGATAGTGAAGGAGAAACATATGAAGACATGTATGAATTACATTTTTAACCATGGCAGTTTTCTTCAAAGATAAATATAATATTTTGTATGAGGGAGAGTTGGTATATAACACCACTGGGGGGAAGCTTGAATTGTTCAAATGACTGACATATAATAACTTTTATTTCAGTTTAAAAGACCAAAACTTATTTAGTTCTCTAAGAATTCTACAAAGGACTCTATTAAAAAGCTGTTGTGTGAGAGGCCAGAGATGTGCAGATTCTACAAAGGACTCTATTAAAAAGCTGTTGTGTGAGATAAACCACAGGCAGGGAATTGGAGTCAGGAATCTGGATTTCTTACTCTTAGTGTATCCTTGGGCAGATGAGTTAATTTCTGTTATACCTTCTTCACCTGAACAGACATCACCCACAGGAGTGCTATGAAAAATAATTTATCATGGGGCCCAGATGCCAAAGTGTCTGCTGCTAAAGTGAAAAGACGTTTAAAAAAAAAAAAAAAAAGAAGTTTTTTGGAAAAGAAATTTCTTGGAAAATGGGTGAAAGTAGAAATGAATATATTATCTTACTTTATCATGTGTTGATCTCAGATATCTTAATTTTTTCTACCCAGTAATTATTCAACCAATTCTGACTCAAGTTTCTGAGCCAAAGTTTACATGTGTACCTGTGAATGCACAGGCATGTGTGCATATGAAAGAGAGAAAAAGAGGTGGATTCTTTTTATGCCAGCATACGACAAGAACGGGGCCTTTATAAACAGTGGCTTCACCTTGCTGGCACCAGTTGTCAGGGAAAGCCAAGCCTTTGGAAGGTAGCCTCAGCTGTGTGCCTCCTACTGGTTTTAAAAATAATCTCACACATTCTGGATTTTGACAACCCTTGCTTTTTACCTTCATCCATACTTCAGATACCACCTTTTCCGTTGTGAGTAGAAACTTCTAGGTAGGGAGCTCCGATGCATCAACACCTGCAGATGTGAAAACAACCTAACAATTTTTATTCATAGAGAAGCATCCAAAGAAAGAGAAAAGAAAAGAGAAAAGGAGGAAAAGAAGAGATTAGAGCTGGAGAAAAAGGAACAGAAAGAGAAAGAAAAGAAAGAACAAGAAATAAAGAAGAAATTTAAAGTAAGTGCTTGCTTGCTGATGAGTGAAAGAGTAACATCTTTTTATACCTTTCACACAAAAGGGGTACCATTCTGGAAACCTTACATAGTTGAAGAATTACTTACTCATTGTTTTCTAAAGAGTAATTATCTTCATAACAGTACTTTTTTATCCAATACACCGTCTTATCCCTGAACTAATATAATAAAATTTAAATAAAATATGGTGTTTTATAATTAGTGGGCACCCAGGAAATTTTATGTTGATCGAGTGAATGAATATTTGCTTCTTCAAAGCCATATTGGCCCTCCCCATAATGCATTTCTTATAATATAGCCTACTTATACCATGAGCTTAGCATCACACACATAAATATCCCTGTGGTTTGTTTTATAGTGGGGCATTGGACACAGATGTCCCCAGGGTGAACCAGACCTATCTCAGAATAAGATTTCCATGCACTACATTGCTAGAATCTAGACCTGATTTACATTTTTGCCTTTATTTTAAGTCTGTATACATGCAGACTTCTGATACCTGCTGTTTCTCATCCCTCTTTGTCTATCTGGATTCTTATCTCGATATTCTCTGATCTCTGGTAATTGTGTGTCTTCTACCATTACTACCACCAGTAAGCACTACTCACTGGCTATTTTCTCCTGCCTACACCATGTTTGATGGCATGGCTCATCCATCATAGATTATCTGAATTACAGATAATCACCCTAAATATGTCTGGCATGTCAGACATATTTAGGGTGATTATCTGAATTACAAAATTATTCTTTCAAAAAGAATTCACAGTATGGTTTCTTTAAATATTTATTCCTCTGGAGCATTTAATATGTGGTTCAAGTTATAAAAAATTGATTTATATATGACTTCCCAGTGTATTTATAGTATTAAAGCAAAGGTTCAATCAATGCATGGTACAGGGAAAACATATAGCAGCAAGTCAGTTAGACACACGGAATCAAATCCTAGTTGTACATACAAATTATGTGATCTTGGGCTTTTCACTTAACTTCTCTGAGCCCCTGATTCTTAATCCTTTTTGTGAGACAGTGTCTCGTTTCATTGCCAGGCACCAGGTTGGGGTGCAGTGGTGTGAGCTCGGCTCACTGCAACCACCGCCTTCCGGGTTCAAGCAATGCTCCTGCCTCAGCCTCCCAAGTAGCTGGGACTACCGGCACGTGCCACCACGCCCAGCTAATTTTTTTTTTTTTTTTTAGTAAAGATGGGGTTTCACCATGTTGGCCGAGATGGTCTTGATCTCTTGACCTCATGATCCACCCACCTCAGCCTCCCAAAGTGCAGGCATCAGCCTGCAGGCATCAGCCACCATGCACAGCTCTTTCTTAAGTGAGAATAAATGACCCTACTCCAGAAAGTTTGTTACAGAACTAAAATAATACACAGCAGGCACTGTATCATAACATTCTCATTTGATTTTGAAAAAGCTTGCTATATATAAGTAAAATTATGATTACAATATTAATATTAGAATATTTTACTCACACAAAATGTATAACTACCACTGTTTATCTTTTTCAAGTGAAAAATTAATTTCAATTAATTTATGAAAATCTATATAGGATACTTTCCATGAAGATATTATTTGTAGATTTAAAGGAATTATGTAAGGTTTTTCCGTATGTTTCTTTTGGAGAAATCAGTTTTATATTATCTCATTCATTCAAATAATATTTTTAGTAAGAAAAGATAGGGTGTGGAAATCATACCATTAAATATGAAGTCAAAAGTTTGTCAAGACTAGGACTTCACCAGCTATATTCCTTCCACAAGATGTTAATAGATAATAGGCAAAAAATTAAATAAATATGAGAACTGAGCCTCATCAACATTATGGCATATCATAATTTAACTTAAATTCTTTTCTTTATTTCTTCGTGGTACATGATAATGATATATGTTTACAATTAATGGCATCATAAGTAAGGTAGAACTTTAAAAGTAATAATGTATATTTACATATCAGAAGATTCAAGAAATTCTGTTGTAAAGACACCAATTTAGGATTAGAAAATTAAGAGTTTAGGATTCATGGTCTAACCAAGATCATTGCCCTTCTACCAATAAGCCACCATACTATTCAGAATACTAATTTTTAAAACCTTGTGTGACATTTGCTTGCTATTTTTTGATTGGCAAGCCTATTTCTGAAATTTCATCATGTTTATAGCAGTTAATGTCTGCTCCAATTTTACAAACAGGCAGCTACCACAAAGTTAAAAAAAAAAATTAAAAGGATAAGAAAAAAAAGGAAATGCTTTTCCCACAAGTACAATCCAGCATCACCACCTAATCTTCCTTTTGGTGTTTTAGATCTGCAGAGATGCATTAGAATAACTATGCAATACAAAGGGGGAAAAACTCCATCTTCCAAACAGAATCCTGGCATATTCCATAAAGACAAATAGCACACAGCATGGATTGTTGTACATAAGTGCTATTCAGCTATGGGGGCTGCCTTTGCAGGCCTCTTGCAGAATTCCTAGGTCAACAGATCCCTGCCTCACTCCCCTGATCCCTGCACATGTTAACCTGTTCTTAGCTGGTCCTCCTTAGCCTCCATGATTTTTCCCTAACCCTTCCTATAAGAAAATCATTCACCTTCAATTTCTAGTTAAATCCTGTAAATGTTGGTTATAGGTAGGTTAGCAAGTTGCAGACTTATTATCTTTCAAAATTGCATTCCTTAAAGATTTTCTAAATACTAAGGAAATCTTTTTATTTTGAATCTTTTAAATAGAATGTAGGCTTACATATAAAGTTCAGAATCTTTATTTTTTTTCTCTTTGCAGCTAACAGGTGATTATTTTTTTCTCCTTGCAGCTAACAGGCCCTATTCAAGTCATCCATCTTGCAAAAGCTTGTTGTGATGTCAAAGGAGGAAAGAATGAACTGAGCTTCAAGCAAGGAGAGCAAATTGAAATCATACGCATCACAGACAACCCAGAAGGAAAATGGCTGGGCAGAACAGCAAGAGGTTCATGTGAGTGCAAATTTCTCTACAGCTTCAAAGTATTTTCTTTGAGAGGCAATAATCAATGTGCATATTCCTTCAGAACTCCTCATAGGCATCAAGTTAGGAGTACTTTACAGGGTGGACAAAGGTAGGAAAATGTTAAATAGCAGGTAGTTCCATCTTCACCTCATCTGTGTTGTCTTTCTTGTGGGAAAAATGTAAAGTTTTATATTCTTCCAGGAGGAACAAACAGCATTAGGTTTTTCATTGACGTTAAAAAGAAAAAATGCTTCATGTGAATCATTACATTAAACTTACATTACATTAGGCTTACATTAAACTACAACAGGAATAGACTTTGACAGACTACGGTAAAATGTGGGGCTACTTGGGAGGTCTATAAATCAGAACTACAAGAAAATAAATCAAGGAAGAATTTAAAGGGCAAATGTGCAATTAACATTTTATTCACAACTTTAAACTATTTAAACTACAGTTGCCTGAACATAAATCTTTCCCTTTTTGGTAGATGGCTATATTAAAACAACTGCTGTAGAGATTGACTATGATTCTTTGAAACTGAAAAAAAACTCTCTTGGTGCTCTTTCAAGACCTACTGAAGATGACCAAGAAGTATACGATGATGTTGCAGAGCAGGATGATGTTAGCAGGTATGTGCACGTATGTATTGCAGAACAGATCAAACCGTCTCTTTGTCAGAGATTTTGTATTTTAAGATTCTAGAGTTTTACTTTCCATATCTCCTACTGCTCTCTATCACTAAACTAAATGACCACTGACAATGGGTGAAAAGTCATTTGAAACTCCATAGTGTTTCTATATGATATGCATCAAATACTACTTGAAGTATAGTGGGCCATTTGCCAGGTCTTGTAAAATGTGTTGTCATTCTAAAACATTTTTATAATGTTCATTATGACTTGATCTTAGGGATATGCCTAATATCGATATGATTTGGTAAAATGTGAAGCATAAAATATAAAATTTACCCCATTTTTTGTCTGAAATCTCTGATTCTAAATGTTTGTTATTTTTGAAAATATATCCAAAAAATGACTTTCATTGCAACCCCAGTTTGCTCTTTAAAAGTAAAAACCTCTTTTTTTATGATCCCTAGGTATCAGTTAAGGGTCCAACTTTTCATGGCCCATTTACTCCGCTAGATTAAAGTGACCTTCACTCCAAGAATTATGGGAACACTTTCCTGGTATAGGGGAATAGAATAGAACATCTTTTCTGGAGGACCAATGAGAGGAGATTGGCCATCCCTCCCTTGTACTTCTCCTTTCCTTCTTTCCTTTCTCAGTCTTCTGCTTCCTTTCTCTCTCCATCTCTCCTCTTCTCTTTGTTCCAGCTCTGATTTTCTGTCATTCTTTTATGTCTTTTGTGCTTTTCCACTCCCCTTCTCCTTTCATTCCTTCTTTCCTCCAACACCACCCTTTTCAGTTAAAGCCATAATCATCTCAAGTTGAAAAAAGGAGGAAAATCTCTAGCCCAGTTCAAAATCTTTATTTTTTTATTACTACCTTATAAAACTAGAAAACCTCCATTGTGATCCCCAAAAGCATAATCTGTGCTAGCTCTTCACCTGGATAAAACTGTGTCTGCATTCTTCATAACTCAAATTTCAAAGGAAACAATATTAGTTGTCAGCCATTTCTAAAATACCAAATACAAATATAGTAATACACTTAAAAAGTATATGAAGAATTACATTTTCCTCTTCTGATCTTTTATATCATGGTATCAGTTAAACTTGTTATATGTCTTTCTAGTAGTTTTGTCTTTCTAAAATTAATTATAGCCTGCTATGCCTTCTTACCATGTTCTAAACATAAATTATGCAACATATATCAAAATATACAATGCATGCCCTAGAGTTTGGAGGTCATTAACAGACTTTAGTCATAAGAAACACATTGACCTAGTGTGAGTCAGTAAATGCCAGTTTTGAGGTCAGATGAAATTCCAAATTGTCATATTCTGAAATTTCCAGAATTTTCTGGATGTAAGTATATCAAGTATATTACTAATGTATACACTTTGTGTGTGTCTTTCATTTGTTTTTTTTAAAAGCACATTTCTTGGCGGCCCGGCGCGGTGGCTCAAGCCTGTAATCCCAGCACTTTGGGAGGCCGAGGCGAGTGGATCACAAGGTCAAGAGATCGAGACCATCCTGGTCAACATGGTGAAACCCCATCTCTACTAAAAATACAAAAAATTAGCTGGGCATGGTGGCATATGCCTGTAATCCCAGCTACTCAGGAGGCTGAGGCAGGAGAATTGCCTGAACCCAGGAGGCGGAGGTTGCAGTGAGCCGAGATCGCGCCATTGCACTCCAGCTTGGGTAACAAGAGTGAAACTCCGTCTCAAAAAAAAAAAAAGCTCATTTCTATAACTTTTGGTAAAAGATTTCCAGTTACATTAATCAATGCATATTTACACTGATGTGCATTCTCAAGAAAAAAATAATAAATCCGGAAAAAAAATGATGTTCTTAAAATGGAACTTTGTTTAATCATGTTGGATGATTATTACCCAAAACTAGCATTATCACCTTTTTCAATTTTATTGAATCCATACATACCATAAGTCTAAAAACCTGCTCCAGTTTAGTAAACAAGGAATAGAAAAAGAATCTTATATTTAGTAAAAGAAGGAAGCTGGAAGAGTTGTATGGTTTTAACGCTCAGTATTTTAAAAAAGTATAGCCCCACAATATTTACTAGCATCTATCCCTCTCTTATGCACCCTTAATAAGAAAATTAAAGAAGCCATTTCTATACATGTTTTATTTTTGAAACTGCAGCTGCTGCTGGCAGAGATCTCATAACAGAACATGCTTTGTTCTTAGTAGAGAAAGGGAAGATGCTGAGTATAGCCGGCAGCTTGCCCTGGCAAGAATAAGAAGAAAAGGCGTCATCTTCTTCTCCCTCCTGCTCATAACTTCTGGCTCAGGCACTCTACCGGCTCTTTCCTGATTCCCTAGAGTGAAGAGCAATGGCTGTGAGTGCTTGAAACTGTAGGAGCAGACTTGAGGCTCCAGAGCACAGCTCCTAACAGCTGTCCTTCCTTCTCTTTTTCTTCTCCACTAAAACAATATCTACAGTGAATATGAAACATTGAAAAGAGTTGCAAATGTAAATACCCCTCTTCATTTCGTAGCAAACCTCCTTCCTTCCATGTATCTCTCTCTCTGCCGCTCCTCTCCTGTCATGCCCTGCTCTCTCTACCTCTTCTTTACTTCATCAAATATTTTACATTCTAAACAGGCCATTTTAGGAAGTGAATAATTGTTCTAGAAATGAAATAAAACAGGAGCTTTGCTCCAGATTCCAACAATCCTGTTCTTTGGAAATTGGTATAAAAATCCAAGATGAAAAGTATCTGCCAAGAGTGGCAGCCAAGCAGAGTGCAGCTCTTCACATAATCCAACTGCCTGCATCATGCATCATGCTCAGAGGGAAGAGTCAGGAAAAATAAATGTCAAAATGGCACATAAGCAAGCGGAGAGTGTACTGCAACTTCTTCAAAAAGCATTTCCTCATTTATATAGGAAGATATTTATAGCATGTTTTCTACAAAGTTCCTGACAGCAACTTTTTGTTTTTATTTCAAATTTAACAGGAGATCTGCATCAGATCAATTTCTTTCACTCACTTTTAACATTAGGAAATCAGATATGAGTACTATATAATTGTCCACTAAGACACTAACATTAAACGGATATCTGTTGCCGGCAAATTAACCAATGTGGAAAACTGGGGGTATAGTGAGTGCAGCTAGGTGTAAAAGTGCGAGTGATCAAGTCAATTTCTCAGAGACTGGTTTCTTTCTTTATTTTTTTTTTTTTCTGAGACAGTCTCACTCTGTTGAGCAAGCTGGAATGCAATGGCGCAATCTCGGCTCATTGCAACCTCCGCCTCCTGGGTTCAAGCAATTCTCCTGCCTCAGCCTCCCAAGTAGCTGGGACTTCAGGCGCAGGCCAACACACCCAGCTAATTTTTGTATTTTTAGTAGAGACAGGGTTTCACCATGTTGGCCAGGATGGTGTCCATCTCTTGACCTCATGATCCACCTACCTCGGCCTCCCAAAATGCTGGATGATAGGCGTGAGCCACCGCGCCATGCCTGAGCCTGGTTTCTTTTATGTACAATGAGGAAATTGAAGAGATGACTTCTGGGATTTTTTCCATTCTCAGAGTCTACATTTCCTTTGCTCTCACAGAACTCACATTTTAGTGGGAGGTATAGGCAAGAAAACAGACAATTATAGCATACGCACTAAAGTAGAGAAACTATAGGATGTTATGGAAGTAAATAAGAAACACAGGCAATCTGAATTTAGAGATGAGTCATATCAAATAAAAGCCCCATGAATGAAATTTCAAGTTTTTAAAAGTTCTCCCTTTAAAAAAATGACTGCTATTACACTAAGAGTAAAATGCTGTGGTCATAGATATTGAAAGATAATTGCATTTAATGGAATGATAATTGCTCTGTTTGACTCTTGGAATAATATCCTTAGGGTTTGTTTTAATGGTCCATCTATGGAATGATGTAATAATGTATCATCTGAAAACAACTGCATAGAAAAATGTCAAAAGCAAACAATATCATCATTTGCAATATCATATGTAGTGCTGTCATTTACTTAATTCTTGTTGTTTTTGTTTGTGTTGTTTTACTGCCTTGTCATTACTCATCTATGATGATAAGAAATGTTTTTTTCCTCTTATGGAAATGTTATTTCTCTTTTGAATAACTGATGAGGAAATGTACTTCTCTTCCTCATACCTAATTAATTCATAGATTAATTTAATATTTTGGGATTTTTTTCTAGCCACAGTCAGAGTGGAAGTGGAGGTAAGCACACACTTCTTAAAATTCCATTTTGCAATTGATACAGATATTTGCATATATTTATGGAGCCCATGTGATATTTTATTACATGCATAGAATGTGTAAAGTTCAAGTTAGTGTATTTAGGCTATCCATCATCATGAGCATTTATCATTTTTATGTGTTGAGAACATTTAGAGTTCTCACTTCTGGCTATTTTCAAATATACAATGTATTATTATTAACTATAGTCACCCTACTCTGCTATTAAACGTTAGAACTTACTTTTTCTATCTAACTGTATGCTTGTGCCCATTCACCAATCTCTCTTTATGTCCCCCAAAACACATTCACACCCATCTCAGCCTCTGGTAACTGTCACTCTACCCTCTACCTCCATGAAATCTACTTTTTTAGCTTCCACATTTGTGTGAGTACATGCAGTATTTGTCGTTCTGTATCTGACTCATTCCATTTAATATGGCCTCCAGTTTCATTCATATTGCTGCAAATGACATGATTTCATTCTTTTTTATGACCAAATAGTATTCCATTGTGTACATACCATGTTTTCTTCATTCATCCAATGATAGACAATTAGGCTGATTCTATAACTTTCCGACTGTGGATAGTGCTGCAATAAACATGGAATTGCAGATATCCATTTGATATACTGATTTCCTTTTCTTTGGATAAATATCCAGTAGTGAGTGCTGGATTGCATGATAGTTCTATTTTGAGTTTTTTTGTAAAATCTCCAGAATATTTTCCATAATCACTGCACTAATGTGTATTTCCACCAACAGTAAGTGTTCCTATTTTCCACATCCTTGCCAGCATTTGTTATTATTTTTCTTTTTGATAACAGCCATTCTAACTGGGGTAAGATAATACCTATCTCATTGTGATTTTAATTTGCATTTCCCTGATGATTAGTGATGTAGAGCATTTTTATAATATACCTGTTGGCCATTGTATGTCTTTTTTGAAAAATGTCTTTTTAGATCCTTTGCCCATTTGGGAATTTTGCTGTTAAGTTGATTGAGTTTTTGTATATTCTGAATATTCATCCCTTTTGGGATGAATCGTTTGCAAATATTTTCTTCCATTCAACAAGTCATCTCTTCACTCTGTTGATTGCTTTGCTATACAGAAGGTTTTAGTTTAATATAATCCCATTTGTCTATTTTATTTTTGTTGCCTGTGATTTTGGGGTGTTAGTCATAAAATCTCTACCTAGATCAGTGTCTTGAAGTGTTTTCTCCATGTTTTCTTCTTGTTGTTTTCTACTTTTAGGACTTATGCTTAAATCCTTAATCTATCTTGAGTTGATTTTTGTATATGGTGAGAGATGGGGCCTAGTTTTATTCTTTTACATATGGATATCCAGTTTTCCCAGCACCATTTATTGATGAGGATTTTTTTCCCCCAGTGTATGTTCTTGGTGACTTTTTCTAAAATCAGTGGCTATAAATATGTGGCTTTACTTCTGGGGCATCTATCCTGTTTCATTGATTTTTGTTTCTGTTTTTATACCAACGCTATGCTGTTTTGGTTACAACAGCTTTGTAATATAATTTGAGGTCAGGGAGTGTGATGCTTCCAGCTTTATTCTTTTGCTCAGGATTGCTTTGGCTATTAATGCTCTTTTTTTTTTTTTTCATACAAATTGAAGAATTGTTTTTCCTATTCTGTGAAAAATGACATTGGTATTTTGATAGGGATTGCATTAAATTTGTAAATTGCTTTGGGTAGTATGGTACTTTTAACAATATTAATTCTAATATATGAGCATGAGAAACTATGCACTTTATCAGTAATTTCTCCAGAAGTCTTCATTATGTTTGTGTATTCTAATGAAAAAAATACCTTAGTTCATAAATAATGAGAAGATCTTAATATGACAGAAAGAACACTAGCTTGGGAGTCAGTGAACTAGATTCTAGTCCTGGCCACCAAGTGACTCTGAACAAGAAACTCTTTCTTTTAAGTTTGTTACAGATCATATGGTGACTCTACTCCAATGTGTTCAAGGTAGTCTTGATTTATACCAGTCATCAGACCACAATTTTTTTTTGAGACAAAGTCTCACTCTGTCACCCAGGCTGGAGTACAGTAGCATAATCTCCTCTGGGGTTCAAGCAATTCTAGTGCCTCAACCTCCTAAGTAGCTACCACACCCAGATAATTTTTGTAATTTTAGTAGAGATGGGGTTTCACCATGTTGGCCAGGCTGGTCTCAAACTCCTGGCTGGGCATGGTGGCTCACTCTTGTAATCCCAGCACTTTGGGAGGCTAAGGCAGATAGATCTGATGTCAGAGCACAATTAATAACAGCATTCTCCTTCACTTTCAGAAGTGTTTTTGTTTGGATGATAACCTATCAAGTCACCTTGACTCTAGCTCAATGGCCCCTATATTTCCCAGCAACAAAATGAGGAATTGATCTAATACTTTGCAGTGCTAAAATCTTCATACTAAAAGTCAAATTTCAAGGTCATTTTACATATTTCCTGCACATAGAAAGTACTCAATAAACAATTGTTAAGGAAATATCTGTCAAATAGCAAGTTTCCTGAGGAGCATAGAGTAACAAATGAAAGGAAAAAGAGTTTAACTTTCAAAAACAGGTATTTTAAAAGTCACTTTTCACTTCTTTTTGTTTCAACTACCATCCATGCTTACAAATTCACCTTTCATCCATTTGCTTTTCTTCACTTGTATCTTGATGAGTATCTTCCTAAATTTCTCTTCACTATTAACTAGTTAGCTAGATTTGTGTCACCTCCTCACATCTCTTTCCACAATAAATATTTAACTTCATCTTCTATTTAAGTTTACTTTTTCTCATGTTTATGCACCCTCATTCCTTTCAACTCAAGTCCACAGTGCCTCTTAGCCCTCATTTTGTTATTGTAATTTCAGCCCTAATAATTCTTTATAAAATGATAAACAAAGTAATTAATTATGGGATAGTAGGAAAATAAAGATGTTTATCTAAATGGTTTATATGAAAGTGAAATGCTCTCTGCAGTTAAATAAGGAAGATTCATAATTAAAATCTGAGTGACCATTACATGATCAAATTATAAAATTAACAGAAGATTTTCCCCCAATCCAAATGAAGGGATATTCCCTCCACCACCAGATGATGACATTTATGATGGCATTGAAGAGGAAGATGCTGATGATGGGTAAGAATAATCAGTGAACTGCTTTTTGCAAATTATTATATTTATATATGAAATTTAGTTTTGATTTCCAGTTAAAATAAAAAGAAATTAGTGTTCTTTCTTACATTACCCCAAATGATTTGAATGTTTAAGTAACAGCAATTGTAAGCCAGGAAGTGTAATTACAACACACTTCAAATGAAGTGGTTGATTGTTTGGAGGATCCTCGGTAACTATGGCAAAAGAAGTCAAATGAAAAAAAGATAAATTACGGGTGTTGTGGATATTTTTTAAAACCTTTTCTAATCAAGTCTTTATTGATCAATAATTTACTTTTACAATAATCCCTGAAGAGTTTATCAGTTGCATGGCTATCCCTTGTGTAATAACATGATTATAATATAGGCAACCCAAATAAATTGAGACCATATGCTACCTGTGGCAGAACCAGTATTGAATACTTAATGCTTTAGCTTAATAAAGCATATCTGTTCATTTGTGATAATTATAACAATTTACAAAAATAAAAATATTTTAGGTAATAAAATACATTTTCTTTCCCATTTTAAATGGCATATCTTAAAATTTAAGGTCTCTTAATTACTTCATTTTAATCATAAATAAAGCAAAATTGATGCTTAAGCTTTTGTGGTTTTCTTTTCTAAGACCAGGTCTCACTCTGTTGCCCAGGCTGGAGTGCAGTGGTAGGATCACAGCTCTCTGCAGCCTCAAACTCCCAGGCTCAAGCAATCCTCCCACCTCAGCTTCTGAGCAGCTTGGAACCACAGGTGTGCACCACCACACCCAGCTCATGTTTTTTATTTTTTGTAGAGATGAGGTCGCACTATGAGGCTGGTCTCAAACTCCTGGGCTTAAGCAATCCTCCCACCTTGGCTTCCTAAAGTGCCAGGATCACAGCTGTGAGACACCACACCCAGTTGTTTAAAACTTAATCCTTAGGGACTTGTTTCACATTTTAAGAAGTGAGAGAATTCTCACTTAATAGAAAAAAAATTATCAAGATAGTAGAAGCATTATTCAATCACCATGATCTATAAACTTAATGACACTATATTGTTAAATACAATGGGTTGTTTACTGCCTGAATTATTAATGGGGTATAATTATAAAGAATCTAAATATCCACAAAATGTCTTCACTTGCCACTGATTATTACATTCTGATCAATGCCTGCATGCTCCAAAGCTCCATGCTACAGATTCAAGAGAAGAGTAACACGTGGTCCTGGGGGATTTTGAAGATGTTAAAGGGAAAAGATGACAAAAAGAAAAGTATACGAGAGAAACCTAAAGTCTCTGAGTCAGACAATAATGAAGGTTCATCGTAAGAGTCAACCAACCAAATCCAGTATACAATAATTACACTAATATGTATTGAATCAAATGCTACTAATATTCTATAACCAATAACCAAATTCTGGTAGACTTAAATAATCTTAACGTAATTTTCCATTAATCACCTTAGCCCCATTTATGGTGTCATCTTTAAGCTCATGCATTACATAAGAGAAGGCCAGGTACTCAAAAATCATTATACAGTTTAAAGATATACTTTACTTTCTTCACAAACATGCACAAAAACACACAAGTACACATAAGTGCACACATACCCTCTCACACTCATGCATATAGTCATACACAAACACTGACACACAAATTTAGTAAGACTTTTTAAAATATAGCATTCCATCTGAAAACTCACAATTCCAATGCCACATTTTACTATATAGGATTTTTCTTGAATACTCTTCAAAATATACATTCTTTTTTAATAATTAGTTTGAAATAAAGAACATGATTTTGAATTTTTCTTTAAATACAGTAATTGAAGCCTTTTAACTCTGTTCCACTATAATGATATAATAATTCGTTTTCCTGTACTAAAAGTATTCTAAATATCTCGAGTTTGTTTAAATAAAACCTAAAGCATAACTTTTCTCTGTCCAGTCCAAAAATAATGCTGTAGTATAAATTCCATACATATGAATTTGAAAGATCTTAATCACATTCCCTGGTAAAAGAAAATCTTTTGGTTTTTATTTACCTCATGAATTCACCACATTTGGCTGAGGTCTTTATAAGATGTTAATTCCATAGAGTGTTCCCAATTGGGTTATAAAACACCAAAGCAACAAGTCAATACACAGTACACTTGAAATTCCAGGAAAACACAAGAAACCTTCTTTTGAGCAACATTACTCAAATATATTCATTACTTAAAAATAAGACACAAAGGTTTTTTTTTCTGCTTCAACTACACCCAAATCTGATTTGGGATCATTTGAATTAATAATTCCTCACACTCTATTCTAACCAGTCATTTCTGTCCCGTGCACCATTCTTTCCATGGTGTGTGTGTATGTGTGCTGTATTTAGAAGTCATGTTTCAGGAAACAGAAGCACTGGTGTTCTGTTGCAGCTAAATGCCACCTAATCCTAATTTCAGATCACTTGAATTAATAAGTTCTCACTCTCTGGTTTAAGTAAATACTCCTCTTATTCACCGTTTTCCTGTTTGGGGGTACATATGCAAATACCGGGAAACATGGTCATATTCCTATGACCTCTGTTTTTGAGTCTGTATTTCTACTCTTTAACTCAAATAAGCAGTTTGGAGGCAGAGATATGTATACCATAATGACTCCAAAATACTGAGTCCCTTTCATTTACTCTGGTGTGATAATATGCCCAAACCTCATGTAAAAAAAAAAAAATCTGGAAATTTTGGGCCAATGACTATGGACAAAATAAACGAATTAAGTATCTTGGCTCTGGATGTTTTGGCAAACATTTGGGGTTGAAAATTTTCTTTTATTTATTTATTTATTTATTGAGGTGGAGTTTTGTTCTTGCTGTCCAAGCTGGAGTGCAATGGCACGATCTCAGCTCACTGCAACCTCCACCTCCCGGGTTCAAGCACTTCTCTTGCCTCAGCCTCCTGAGTAGCTGGGATTACAGGCGCTACAGGCATGCTCCACCATCCCCAGCTAATTTTTTGGTAATTTTTTTTAGTAGAAATGAGGTTTCATCATGTTAGCCAGGCTGGTCTCGAACTCCTGACCTCAGGTGATCCACCCACCATGGCATCCCAAAGTGCTGGGATTGCAGGCGTGAGCCACCATACCCGGCCCAAAAAGATTTTTGCTAAATTCCAAATTGATAAACAGAAATGGACTTAGTGGAGAAATAGAGGGTGAGAAAGAAAGAATGATCAACAGATTAATTAACCTAATATGCCTCCAGGCTGTTGCCTCTTTATACTGTCTTATATAACGGAATCAATTTCTATGTTCACATTAGTCTGATTATAATTGTGTTCTTACTTTCTTTGTAGTTTCCCTGCTCCTCCTAAACAATTGGGTGAGTAATAAAAACTAATTATATGTTCTGTATCTTTATTTCTTGCAGTGTGGCAGTGGGAAAGCACTGGATATAGTCACAGTATATGCATTAAAGTCCTGACTCTGAAAATAACAAATTGTGTAACCCCAAGCAAGTGATTTCACCTTGAGTGGCCACAGTTGCTCAGTGATAAAATAACAAGATGAGAAAAATAAAAAAGACTGATAGTTTTTGTTTTTCCTTTTTTTTTTCTTTCACCTCTACCTAGAAAAATAGGACTGACAGTTTTTAAACTGTTCTTCCAGGAGTAGGAGTGGCAAATAGTGGCTCCTATGGAGTTAGGGATAAGTGGGAAGGGAAGGGCACCAACTTTCCCTATGTCCACCTGCCCCAATTCAGTCCAAACTTGATACATGAGACTTCTGCATAAGGATAGCTAAACCCACACCAGATTATATGCCAGTAAGGCTCTTCTAAATCTAATTTCTTTGGATATTTAAATGGATAGTTTGTATTGTGCTTGGAAAATGTGAAATATAACTGTTTCTTTATACAATTTAAATCAGTTATTGTCTTCTCATCCCTTCTGAGACAGATCTTCAGATGTTTTTAAAATTTACTTTGAACAAAGTCAAATCTTGTCTCAAGAACATTCAGGGGCTTTCGGAAAGTTTATTTGTTTTAACTTATAAGTATATTAAAAGAGCAAACCAACACAGAGGTAATCTATTCTTCCAGACCCTTTAGCTGATATTAGAACTTTCTTTTCAGTTATCACTTTGAAAATATGTAAGAGACCAAATCAAACTGATCAGTGCCTTATAATAAGCTTGTATTCTAGTCTATAATATTTTTAAAGTATTCAAAAAAATTAATGCCACAAAAAGTAGGTATAAAATGGAACAAATGTAATCAATTCTGTAAAAAATAAAGTTTTTTGTTATGCTTGTTGTTCTTAACGTGGACTCAGGGAGAGGAGCATCACACACTGGGGACAGTTAGGGGAGGTAGGGGAGAGACGGCAGGGGGAGGGGAGGGAAAGGAGGGTGGGGAGGGATAACATGGGGAGAAATGACAGATATAGTATGCACCTCAAGTAAAATAAGTAAATTTAAATTTAAAAAAAATTGCTTGTTGTTCTTTTTTTTTTTTTTTTTTTTTTTTTGAGACGGAGTTTCACTCGTTATCCAGTCTGGAGTGCAATGGCGCTATCTCGGCTCACCGCAACCTCCGCCTCCTGGGTTCAGGCAATTCTCCTGCCTCAGCCTCCTGAATAGCTGGGATTACAGGCACGCGCCACCATGCCCAGCTAATTTTTTGTATTTTGAGTAGAGACGGGGTTTCACCATGTTGACCAGGATGGTCTCGATCTCTTGACCTCGTGATCCACCCTCCTCGGCCTCCCAGAGTGCTGGGATTACAGGAGTTAGCCACCGCGCCCGGCCTGTTGTTCTTAAATGTGTCTTAAGTGCATGTGCACAGAGTAATAACTTTGACCCTTCTAGATGATATTTTTTAAAGCATTTATTTTTCATGCAACTGAGCAAGTTTTATCCTGTTAAATTAGTTAACCTGAATACACACACAAGGGAGGGGGATATGGGGGCAGGATTTATAAAGGAAATCAATTCCTTGCCACTACCAGAGAACATTTAAACTCTTTATGGTAACGACTCCTTAAAATATTTGCAATTTCTTCTATTCAGTCTCTTCAGCTTCATTGGCTGTAGAGCAGTTGATAGGTGCAGAGAGGAAGCATTCTTCCTGACTTTACTAATAAGAAGCCTTGAAGGAAGAAAAAGCTCTAATGATTGGAAAAGCCATTGAACCAGTTAAGGTCATGACAACTTTTCTGCCAATACTGTTTCTCAATACCTGTTCATATAAGAAGTATTTAATTAAAAGAAATAATCTTTCCATTTAAAGGCAGTGCCACTCCTAATATCACTGTAAGGTAAAAGGTAATGGGAAACAGATCAGTGAGAGGAACGAAAGAAGGAAGGAAGGCGAAGGACATTTAAATAGGGGGCTTATGATATATTTATCACAGCCCCCTAAATCCTACAAGAATCAAAATTCATATCTCCACTTCATCTTGCCAATGGCTAGTAATGTTGGTTTGTTTATCAGCAATTTGCCACTCCTGCCTTTCATTGCACTTATAGATCTTCAGATAATCATAGTCACTGTGCCATGAGTTTTTTTCCAGATAATGATGATTATCATTATGGTCACCGGTTTTTTGAGGATAATTTAATACATACATCCTGGCAAATAACATCCTCTCCTCTTTCAGAATCAGCCAGTGCTTCCAGAAGAAATGTATTGAGACACTAGGAAAACTTCTTCTATTGTTCTTGAAGCAATCTTTATATTAAAAACATCATTGAATGCTCATATCAAAATCTAAACTAACAGTGTTTTGACCTTTGATATTCTGCCTTTTGTTAGACATGGCAGACGAAGTTTACGATGATGTGGATACCTCTGATTTCCCTGTTCCATCAGCAGAGATGAGGTAATTAAAATGCTTTCATTGCAATGAAGTAATGAAAATGAGATTACTCAAGAAAATTCAACTGAAATAAAAACCCAGTGGGATGTGTGTCTACTGTGTGTGATGACGTTGGCTCTGGCCTCCTCTCTAAAGCTATGTGTTTTTCCCATCTCAGCTCTACCCTCTCTGCTAGGTTTGTGAGTAGATAGCCCCAATTCTTTGCTCCCACCTCCATCTCTTCCTTCCCTCCTTCTCTTCCATCCCCCTGGTTCTGTTCCTTGTTTCCTGATTAGCCTTGGGCCTGTGACTCACGGATGTCTGTTTCATTTATTCATTTATTCACTGGAAAAACATGTTTAAGACCTTAGTCACAACCAGTCTCACAGATTCTTCTTCTCTCTTTGTTTTCACTATTTTCCCCAAACCTTTTTTTTCTTGATTATACTTCTCAGCTTACATCTCAGCACTCGCCCATCTTGTTCAAGCCACCTCTGTCTTCTGCAAGATAGTTTCCTTTACAAAAAAAAAAGAAAAAAAAGATTTGTTTTTTAAAGAGGCTTTTAGGTAGGTTACATTCAAGTCTTCAAAAACTACTTTTAGCCTAAAATTGTGTAAAATCAGTTAAGATCAAGTAATACAAAAAGAGTACCTTTTGGAATTGTTTTTGAAATATAAAATAACATGGTGGGATGCTTTCTCATAATCCAATAAATACATGAAATGATTTGATACATACTGGGTATAAAAGCAAGAGCACCTATATAGCTTTTTCAAGAAAAAAGGATGACTCAAACGATCTTGTGTTTGATTAAAGGATTAAAGTAACATAAATGGAATGCAGTAAGTGGTGTCTTCTGAGCTGTACTGGTAAAAATGCATGAGTAAACGCTAAGTATTTATTTATTTTTTTAACCAACATTTTAAAACTAATTTTATTGGACTACAGAGAGTATGAAGATCAAAGACTCTGAAGGAAAAATATGTCATCATTCATATATGAAGATCAAGTTCTACAGGCAAAACAAATAAGAACAATGAAAGAATTGTTGCCCTGTTTTCAATTCTTCATGAAACAAAAATCTAATCTTCAGTAATATGTTCAAGTTTTAATATTTCTCACCACTGGCATTTCAGTCCTTGACAGTTGTTAATGCATTTTTTTCACTTTACATTACTGTAGAAATGCCATCACGTTCTATAAAATACCTCTCCAGGAACCCAGAGTTATACACTAGCTGTATTCTTCAAACAAAATAAACCCAAGCTGACTAAGCTTTATGTGATATGGACAATTTTCTTCCTCTTTGTGCTTATTTTCAGAATTTAAAGCAAGTTTATGTTCTCTAATGTCATATTCTATGTTTAAATAAATTTCAATTAATTTTTAAAAGATAGCTTTTAGGGGACATCTAACTTTCATGTATATTCTGATTGCCCCAGAGAGCTAATCTGGGGCAGTAATTCCACAAATGCCCAGACTACCATAGGCAGGCGGTACTGAGGGCAGACACGAAACCTAAAATAGATACTGTACTAATTCGTTCCACAGTGAATGAACTACATGCTAAGATCCCAAAATTGAGAATTAAACATTTAAAATAAATTGCTTATAAACAAAACTTTATCTTAGATAATCTAAATAAAAATTTTTATATTCTAATTTTTAAAATGCTCACTGAAGAAATCTACAGCTCCTCCTTACCATCCATAATTTAACCCTAGTGAATGGTTATCAATCTTGGCTACAAATTAATATCACCTGAGAATCTCTTAAAATGTATCCATCACTACCTGGACCCTACTCAGACTAAATTAAATTTTAAAATTAATCAAAATTAGAATGTTCAAACATTGGGCAAGAGCAGTAGTATGCTTTGTATTAATATTATACTTTAAGTTCTGGGGTATATGTGCAGAACGTGCAGTTTTGTTACATGGGCATACACCTGCCATGGTGGTTTGCTGCACCCATCAACTCATCATCTACATTAGGTATTTCTCCTTATACTATCCCTCCCCTAGCCCCCCACTCCCTGACAGGCCCCAGTGTGTGTGATGTTGCCCTTCCCATATCCATGTGTTCTCATTGTTCAACTTCCACTTATGAGTGAGAACATGCAGTATTTGTTTTTCTGTTCTTGTGTTAGTTTGCTGAGAATGATGGTTTCCAGCTTCATCCATGTCCCTGCAAAGGACATGAACTCATCCTTTTTTATAGCTGCATAGTATTCCATGGTGTATATGTGCCATATTTTCTTTATCCAGTCTACCATTGATGGGCATTCAGGTTGGTTCCAATTGTAAACAGTGCCACAGTAAACCTATACGTACATGTGTCTTTATAATAGTATAATCCTTTGGGTATATACCCAATAATGAGATTGCTGGATCAAATGGTATTTCTGGTTCTAGATCCTTGAGAAATCGCCATGCTGTCTTCCACAATGGTTGACCTAATTTACACTCCCACCAGCAGTGTAAAAGTGTTTCTATTTCTCCACATCCTCTCCAGCATCCGTTGTTTCCTGACTTTTTAATGATCTCCATTCCAACTGGCATGAGATGTTATGGTTTTGATTTGCATTTCTCTAATGACCAGTGATGATGAGCTTTTCTTCATGTTCGTTGGCCACATACATTTCTTCTTTTGAGATGTGTATGTTCATATCCCTCACCCACTTTTTGATGGTTTTTTTTTTTTTCTTGTATATTTAAGTTCTTTGTAGGTTCTGGTTATTAGCTTTTTGTCAGATGTACAGATTACAAAAATGTTCTCCCATTCTGTAGGTTGCCTGTTCACTCTGATGATAGTTTCTTTTGCTGTGCAGAAGCTCTTTAGTTTAATTAGATCCCATTGTCAATTTTGGCTTTTGTTGCCATTGCTTTTGGTGTTTTAGTAGTAAAGTCTTTGCCCATGCCTATGTCCTGAATGGTATTGCCTAGGTTTTCTTACAGGGTTTTTTGGTTTTAGGTCTTACATTTAAGTTTTTAAACCATCTTGAGTTAATTTTTGTATAAGGGGTAAGGAAGGGGTTCAGTTTCAGCTTTCTGCACGTGGCTAGCCAGTTTTCTCCACACCATTTATTAAACAGGGAATTCTTTCCCCATTGCTTGTTTTTGTCAGGTTTGCCAAAGATCAGATGGTTGTAGATGTGTGGCATTGCCTCTGAGGCCTCTGTTCTGTTCCACTGGTCTATATCTCTGTTTTGGTGCCAGTACCATGCTGTTTTGATTACTGTAGCCTTGTGTTTAGTTTGAAGTCAGGTAGTGTGATGCCTCCAGCTTTATTCTTTTTGCTTAGGATTGTCTTGGTTATACAGGCCCTTTTTTTTTGTTCTATATGAAATTTAAAGTAGTTTTTTTTGTAATTCTGTGAAGAAAAGTCAATGGTAGCTCGATGAGGATAGCATTGAATCTATAAATTACTTTGAGCAGTATGGCCATTTTCATGATATTTATTCTTCCTATCCATGAGCATGGAATGTTTTTCCATTTGTTTGTGTCCTCTCTTATTTCTTTGAGTAGTGGTTCATAGTTCTCCTTGAAGGGGTCCTTCGCATCCCTTTAAGTTGTATTCCTAAGTATTTTATTCTCCTTGTAGCTATTGTGAATGGGAGTTCACTCAAGATTTGGCTAGTAGTATGTGCCAAAGCTTCCCAGGTGATCCTGTGTGTGGACAGGCTAGAAAATCACTGTTTTAGACTTGTTCACTTATATTGTGGTAATTGGCTTCAGACCAATTGGTATCTACAAAATACAGTGATTTCTATACCTAGATTCTCGGGTTTTTTTTTTTTTAAATTAAGTTCATTAATTGATCCAAACGCTTAGGATGTGCTTATCTTTCTTACTTTCTCTCTCCCTTCCCCCCTTCACACACACACACACACACACACACACACACGAACAATTGATAAAGTGGTGAAGTAAAAGATCAATAATAGCCATCTTTTTTAAGAAGCTCCTTCTTATAATATCTAAAATCTTAACTTTTACCTAAGATTTATTTAGTAACCAAAACTCTGGATACATTTTAAGTAGATGTGAACTAAATAGCACATAAATGTTATAAATCAAAAAAATCGATTTTTTTGAAGACTCCTTTTTTTTAAAAAAAAAAAAAGCCTTTCTTATGACATTGGCAAAGCTACTTAAGCATCTAGAGAGCATTGAAAATATAGGGAGGCTGGGCGTGGTGGCTCACGCCTGTAATCCCAGCACTTTGGGAGGCTGAGGCAGGTGGATCATGAGGTTAACAGATCGAGACCTTCCTGGTCAACATGGTGAAACCCCGTCTCTACTCAAAATACAAAAAATTAGCTGGGCATGGTGGCGCGTGCCTGTAATCCCAGCTACTCAGGAAGCTGAGGCAGGAGAATTGCCTGAACCCAGGAGGCGGAGGTTGCGGTGAGCCGAGATAGCGCCATTGCACTCCAGCCTGGATAACAAGAGTGAAACTCCGTCTCAAAAAAAAAAAAAAAAACCAAAGAAAATACAGGGAGGAGGTTTAAGAATAGGTTAAATCATATGAAACTGCTGACATGCAACCATGTTTAAACCATGACTCAGTGATTTTATATGGTTCAGTATGAGAAGGAATCTAATCACTCATTTCCATTTTAATTTTCATAATCTATATTCGCTTGAGGAAACCCTGCTACATTATGAAATTATAGTGACATTTATTATAATGACAGTTACTGGATTTCTAACAGAAAGAATTAACTGAAACAAAATGTCGAAAATATAATGTCACAATTTTCTCTGTTATGGACTCTTCTTTTTATATTTTCTAAACAAAGTGTTGTTTTATGTGGGTTCTGCCATCCTAGTCAAGGACCTAATATTGGAAAAGCTAAGACAGAAGAAAAGGACCTTAAGAAGCTAAAAAAGCTGGAAAAAGAAGAAAAAGACTTCAGGAAAAAATTTAAAGTATGTCATATCTAAATATTATATAAAGTACAAAGCACTATTGAAAAATCTGATGATTTTTAAGTGTCAAAATGCACACTTTAAAGTATAATTATCAATATTACAGTTAGCCATTATAACTCTTTTACTTTGTACAAAATTTATTTTAGATTTAAATTTATTTTTATAAAAGATGAAGCAAACTATAATACATGCACAGTATTCATACTGTGATAATCATCTAAATTGAGCTGTCCTTTGAAGCTTAATAAGAAGGTACTAAAAATAGTTGTTTTATTAGGTATGTGAGGTTATGAATGATGTTTGCCCCTCAAAATTTTCTTTAATATTCTTACATTATATTTGGAAAAAACGGAATTATTTCTTTAGCAAATACCTATTTAATAAATCCATCAATACATAAGTTGTTTTAATAATGCACATAAACTAATAATTTAAATATTGTTCTTTTTTTTTAGTATGATGGTGAAATTAGAGTTCTATATTCAACTAAAGTTGCATCTTCCATAACTTCTAAAAAGTGGGGAACCAGAGATCTACAGGTAAAGCCTGGTGACTCTCTAGAAGTTATACAAAACACAGATGATACAAAAGTTCTCTGCAGAAATGAAGAAGGGAAATGTAAGTCACTACTTACACTGTAATATATATATGTCACTCCAGAATTTAACAATCAAACAAATTTTAGTGACTACTCTGTGTTTACTAACTCTTATCTTTTTCTTTATCCTTTGTCAATTGTGGCAAATGTTAAAAAGTTGGTCATTTTGCTGTACTGAAATCCATATATTTTAATCTCTTTTCATTTACTATCTACTATCTATATACTCTGGTGTCCAAGATAATGCCAAATTACGGCTTCTCAAAATGCAGTCCTATAGACCATCAGCATCAGAAAGCCCTTGTGTGTTTATTAAAATCGAAGTTTCCTGAACCTACCCTTGACTTGCTGAATCCTGAGTTCTAGAAATTAGGGAAAAACAGTGATCATAACTTCTCTAGCTTGTTCATGTGTTCTGACACTAAAGTGAGAACCACTGTGCTAAAGTAGACAGGGTCTCTTGCTCTGGCCTGGTTTTAAAATTATGTTGAATTTTGAATTATATAGAATTGTATAGAATTCTGTTGCAAATTCAGTTGTTTTCATTTCCTATTTGAACACACTTAGTGCAACATAATATTCCAAATAAATCCAAAAAATCTCCCATCTCCTTTGACTTTATCAGGTATTAAAGCTGACAGATGGGGGCCAGGTGTGGTGGCTGTTACCTGTAATCCCAGCACCTTGGGAGTCTGTGGTAGGATGATTGCTTGAGCTCAGGAGTTTGAGACCAGCCTGGGCAACATAGCGAGAGCTAGACTTTACTAAAAATCCAAGAGAAATTAGACAGATGTAGTGGTGTGCACCTGTAGCCCCAGCTCTTTGGAAGGCTAAGGCAGAAAAAAATCACTTGAACTCAGGAGTTCCAAGATGCAGGAGTTTCAAGACTGCTACACTCCAGCTGGGCAACAGAGCGAGACCCTGACTCAAGAAACAAAAAACAAAAAATGGAAAATAAAAGAAAGCTGACAGATGGAAATATTTCTGTCAAATTTCAAAAGAAAGTTTATTTAAAGTCAAGAGAAGAGTAATTCAAAATTATGTTGTCTTTTATTTGAAATTGGATAGCCATCACAGCTGCCCCATATCAGCTTGGTCAATCTGCATGGAAAACAGGGACTCTGAGTTTAATTTTAATGGGAGGAAGGTGACTCAGGGACAGGAATTGAAATGGAGTTTCAAGAATAAAACACAGTGACTCAAGGGTGGAGGAAATGGATGTAAAGTTTATCATGGAGGAGGTGTGGTTGGCTTTTCAAAGGAAAATGAGGAATGTGGGTACGAAAGATAAAGGGCAAGGGCAGTGTAATATTAAGATTGTAAATTCACTGAAGGTAATGTGTAGAAAGATCCCCAGGAAACAAAGAAAACCCCCATTCAGACTAGGATTTGCAAGAGTCTACCTTAAGGAATAGCATCCAAAGTTCATCAAAAAATATTTAAAAGTTCAAAGATTTTTCAATTGTTAAATGTTATGATGAATGTACCCCATTGAATATTCTAAATAATAATTATGGTAATAATGTGCTGAATCTCTCATGACATATGGTAGAAAAAGTATGAAAGCTATTTAATTTGGGGTAGGATTTATAGCCATGTTATAAAAGCCATAGAAATAAGAGAAACCAAACTAAAAGAAATTAAATACTAAAATAGGAGTCAGGCTCAAAAGGGTGTTGAGTGTAAATGATATGTTTTCTGTCCTCTACTTTGCAAATAATTTCACATTTTTTAACAACAGAGAGTTGTCCTAGTGTTAGTCATATAGATCTCTCTCCAGGGTACAAGCTGAAGCTTGTACATATCTTGGCACCTACTATACCAAGCAGTATAGTAGAAGAAGATCTTGCCATAGTGACCTAAGTTTTCTATCCTTAGCAGCAAATCTTATCTAAAGCAATGCTCCTCCAACTTTGAAGTGCATAAACATCAATGGGGATCTTGCTGAAAATGCAGAAGTGAAGCCTGGCATTCTTTTTTTGTTTATTTGTTTATTTTTTCCACCTTACATTTGTAAAAATGGCATGACATTCTACAGTTAAGCTCCCAGGTAATTGATGCTCCTGGTCCTTGGATCAGCATGGATCTTCACATATCCTGAGTAACAAGGATGTGATGATCTCATCAACGAACATGAATGGATATCGATGGACAGGAATAGTTGTGGAACCAGTAAGATAAATTCAGAGAAGAGACTTCTGTCTTCCTAGGAACCAGCGAACCTTAAGAATAAGTAGCCATTCAGAATAACTGCATAATCTACTATCATTTTCTATTGGAACATCAATAATTCTAAGTACTATTACAAATACTAAAGGTCTCCAGTCCTCTTACAATGTGTCATCTTCTAAGAATAAGAGGTGAAATGTTTCATAAACTTCTGATAGATTACAATCAAGAGTTTCATGTAAATATCTTTTTTCTTTCTGCTGCAATACCAATGCACTTTACAGTTTCCCAGTTCATCGTTAACTACCTAAATTCTTAGATGGCTTTGGGGTATATCTCAGACAGGATGGAAACCACATGATTATATGGCAGCACCTACCTGTTGCTTTTTATGTAAAGACTTCCTTTGGGCTGGATTTTGTCTTAGTATGGCTTCCCCATAAAGGGAGTTATTCTGGAAAAATGCCAGTGGCAAGTGGAGAAATGAGATAGGGAAGCGAAGTCAGCCAATAAATTCTTATTGTCAAAGAAGTTACCACTTGGATTATTGGAACCTGATCCTGCTCTACACCCACGAGTGTCAGTGTTATCCCATCCAGTGGGAAACAAATTAGGGTATTTTTACACCAACTCCTGTCCTTCAGGAGCTGAAGCCTATTCCTGGGCAGGTATGGAGGAATTCAGGATACTCAGTAAGCTGACAGAGAGTTCCAGAAGCCAGAGAAAAGCCATCGGTGAAAAAATTTTTAAACGTAAGTACTGTCAGTTGGACCTGCAAGTACCCACGTGGTAAGGGTGCGGGTGTAAAAGAGAGGCACTAGGATCATCTGTTACTGGCTTTCAGGTTAAGTATTATTCCAAGATTTAATCACCATATCTGCTTAATTTAATTTGTGTTTTTCCTAACCTCCTGCCTTTCTTAATTATTACAAACCTGCTTGCTCCTTCCACGGACTGGGTCCTTGACATTCTTAATTTTTAAAAATAGTTAATTCATTATTCGCACACCTCTATAAGATTATTGTAGGGTTTTAACCCTCCCTCTCCTAGATGATTGCAGTAGCCTTTCTAATGACATGTCTATCTTTGCCCTTATACTCAGAATCCACTTCCGCACAATGTTACCCAAATATTATTATTTTTTAAATATAGTATTTAAGCTAGCACATAAAACTCTTTATGATCTAGCCTCACCATCACCCACTGCTATTTTCCATCTACAACTGTCACTTCAGAAATACAAACTATTTACTTGTCATTCCCTGAATAAATTAGGTGTTTGGGCTGGGCATGGTAGCTCACACCTGTAATCCTAGCACTTTGAGAGGCTGAGGTGGGCAAATCACTTTAGGTCAGGAGTTTGAGACCAGCCTGGCCAACATGGCAAAACCCCATCTCTACTAAAAGTACAAAAGTTAGCCGAGCATGGTGGCACATGCCTGTAATCCCAGCTACTCAGGAGGCTAAGGCAGGAGAATCACTTGAACCCAGAAGGCAGAGGTTGCAGTGAGCCGAGATTGTGCCACTGCACTCCAGCCTGGTGGTAGAGCGAGACTCCGTCTCAAAAAAAAAATTCTGTATTTCATCCTACTATGCTATTTTATTCAACTTGGAATACCCATGATTCTCTATTAAAAACAACTTAGTTGTCCTCTAAAATTAGAAGCACCTCCAGTCCCTACTCCCAGCCACATCATCACAATTAATCTCTCCCCAACTCTACCATGATATTTCTTTTGCTCTGTCACCATCATTATTGTTTTACCAGTCTATTACTCTTATTAGACTCCAAGCTTCAGAGTCACTTCAGTGAAATATTCTCAACATTGTATTGTCAACACATTACACCATGGCTTGTACCTTGCGCAGGGCTTGCTGGACTGAATGAAACAATTTGGAAATTGCCTTTGCATTTGTAATCCAGCACCATGGTTACACTAACATTATCCTTAGCCTCCATTCTTCTTTAATCCGTCAAAAAAGAAAAGCATAGCTTACTTCAACCTGAAGTTCATAATGATAGCAATTAAAGGCTAAAGCATGAACACCAATCCCTTACCGTTACAGAGTGGGGCATCAGCCACTTTTACAGGCATTATCACATTCAATCAAGTCTCACCCACCGACTTGTGTGGGTGCTGACATCTTAAATATAAATTTCTGGCACATTTCCAAATGTTTAGAATTTCTCGATAATATGTATGCATATTCCACAACTCTATGTCTCATAAGCTGTGAGACACTTTTTGTCTGAGTTATTTGTGGCCAAAGCACTTTCCATTTTCTTTAGGCATCAAAGACCAAGGGATTTTAAAGGTGCTTTTGATCTTCCCAAATCTAATTGATTATTTTTTTAACTTGCATAATTTTTTTTCAATTTTAAAACAACACATGCTCACTAGAGGAAAATTTTTAAAATTTAGAAAGTTAAAATGTCATCCAAATATGAAGCTGTGGAAATAACAATAGAGACAGAGAAGAGGGGAAGGGTGAACATTTTTATAAAACTAGGATAATAATGTATATTCAGTATTATACACAACACTTTATTTTTTTATTATATTATGAGCATTTTGCATTGAAATTGGACATTGTTCCACTTGCCTAGGTAAATTTGTACCATATGATTTTATTGTTTTCAAACTGTATGAGACCAAATTGAGTACACTTAACTTTATTTCTGGATTTACTCATAACATAAAATAATGATGAAATATTATGTTGTCATTTTTATGAAGTAAAAATTTGAAAATATTAGAATGAAGGTAATTTCCACTTTTCCAAAGATTGTTTTCTATTTCCTTGGTTAATCTATATTCAGAATACCCTTCTAAAAGGTAGCCATTAGTCCTGAGACACATCTGCACTGTAGCAACCAAATGTTTGGGGAAGAAATTAACTGGCACATGTGCGGGGTAGGTGTTATTTTCCCAACTAGCTCTACCCCACTGCATATTTCACAACATTTGTTGCAAGCCATTATGTTCTGCTCTATGAATCTGAGGTTTCCAAATAATAATTTCATAGAATATGTGAGAATCCCTGGTATGCCAGCACTCACAAAATCACAGGGCTAAACATAGCCACCATGTTACACCATGTTACATGGTACAGACCATGATGAGATTTTTGTTGTTGCTGTTTATTTCATGTGTTTGTATTTTTCACTAATATTCCCTGTAATAAATGTACACATGTAACATGAACAAAGAGATTTTCCTACTGCAAAAAAGACTATATTTCTTTTCACCATGGCATTTGTATGCCCATGTAAAAATACTCCACAATCTGCACATGTACCCCAGGACTTAAAGTATAATAAAAAGAAAAAAGAAAAAAAGAATGTACAGAAAAAATAAATGTACTGATCAAAGTGAATATATGTATATATATATATGTGTGTATGTATATATATGTGTTTGTGTATATATATGTGTGTGTGTATATATATGTGTGTATATATATATAGGACCAATAATGGAGAGATTATATAAAAATTTATGGTAAACCACTTATTTTGATGCTGTCATAAATTATGCTTTTAATAGAATGAAGTTTTAGCTGAGATTTTTAAGGGTACCAGACAGCAAAGCCTGTACTGTATTAAACGTCATTTGCCTTGTAAAATGCTACATAATAGTGATTTTATAGCTAACAAGCCCCATGTTATCACATCATTTCTGCAGCATGGTACCATCTCACATTCTGTCTCCCTAATACATTTTTCATAAATAATATTCTCAATTATTGATGTTTATGTATTTCACACACACACACAATAATAGCAACAAAGTGTTCAACACAGGAGAAGGCTGTTCCTTAGAACTTGTGAATACCGAGATACAGGAGGGAATGAAAATACAGGTTCAGATTCTAAGAAATATGTTTTTTATAAGTAATTTGTAGAGTTGAGGTATTAAGCTGTATATCATGAATGATTAACTTTGGTCACGTAAAGGACTGTTTTAGCTCTCTTTACACTTAGTGTTTTATCCAAGCCCGCAAAATTGTAGCATAAATGAGTTTTTAAAACTAGATTACCTAAAAGCATAAGCAAATAAAAATCTTTAATTTCTAAAATGGTGATTACAATTTTAATCACCATTAAAATTTTGCACTTTATGCTTGATGCCAGAATAGCTTCAGTCTCTAACAACTGTTTATAATTCTTATATAGTTCTCTAATTTATCTTCCAATTTTGTCTCAGAGATTTTATGAAGTCCTAACAAATCATATGAGATTGATTTCTGTATTAGAAACTTCAGTTCATATACATAGTTTTTAAATTATTAACATCAACATGAGTATGTAATGGGAACATTAACTATCGTGTTATTTTCCAATTTGTTTTAGCAAAAAATCCAAAATGAAAGCAGAACCCGCAATTTTAACTGATAAAAAAGTATGTGGCCATTATTATTTGTAGAAAACTGTTCAAATTTTAGTGTAGCCGTAAGTATAGATACAGATAGTAGTTTTTTCAGGTATGAGGACCCTGATATAAAAATCCACAAATTGTTCTAAAAGCTTGTTATTTGCACAGATTTTTGGCTTTTGAGAGACACATGTAGAATTGAATTTGTTGGACATGAGCTTATCCTTTTTTTAAAAGTTACATTAAATTATTATGTATATCTTGTTTAAAAAGAAAGTCTGTTAACATGAAATGAACTGTGATATCAAAGCCTACCCACGGACTATAGATATGAATTGTAGATGGTCTTACATTAATACTTTTGCTACCTTTATATTAATTGAAATAAAAAGGAAGGTACAAGATGTTCTATTTTTTTGATAGATGTTCTATGTTCTATGTTACTGTGCTTTTATTATTTTGACACTTTCATTACTTTTCTACTACAAAAATTCAAAGATAACTTTGATTCTTTCTTTTTCAAATATGATATGTTAAATAGTTTTTATCAAAAAGTGGTGAACTTCTTGATAAAATATTTTAGTGGAGTGTGTTTTTTAGCCCCATCCTTCAAGGGAAAGTTCATTTTCTTAAATGTTAATGTATAAATTCAGTTTTATGATTCTAACTTTAAAATTTTTTTTCATGTTTAATCAATACATTTAAGTAAGTTTATCACTTGTATTATTAATTTTGGTTATACACTTTCTCTTTATAATTTTTTAACGTTTACTTTGATTTAGAACCAAAATCAGATCTAAAATGGACCAAGACCAATAGATTGACTCACTGAGAGAAATTATTTAGAGATTGTATTGAAGAAACAACAAATGGTACTAATCTCAAGCATACAACAGATTTTAGGCACTAACACAAACTAACTTTTCCAAATATTAGTAATATTAATTAGATATCAGCAGACAGTTTCCTATGAAAAATAGTATATATTTTTCCTGAGAAACATTTGCACAATGAGGGACAAATATAAGATGCCCCTTATACAACAACAACAACAAAACTTAGTTTTCTTGCATCAAATATGGTTTATTTTCTACTTGACCGGTCATCACAGAATCCATAGTATGTGCCCTTCCAATAATGCTTTCTGCTCCATGAGCAAGGAAATGCAAATGTTGATACTGTCCAATAGCAAAGCAATATAGGAATTTCTTCCTTTTCTAAAAGAGAGCTGTTTTGAGACTATTTACAATGCATAGTCCCCCTAATAGTCAATAGCTGGCTGGCATCTGAAAGGGGAGTTGAAAAGAGTTCTATTTCTGCTCAATATAATAAAAGTTTTAAAGTAAGTCTTAGATCTGGTAGTATTTAAAATATTTACCAATAAGCTATTTTTATAATCTGTGCTTACTAAATTCTTCTTAAAACTGAATCATGAGGGGGGTAACATATTGAAGAAGTAGATTAAAAATTGAAAGAACTCTGTGCTACAGCCTACAGTAGCTTAATGAAAAAAGTCTTTTTATGTAAAGGGAATGGAGAAAATATGAAATGGGAGGAAAAAAAGAGACATATTGGAGAAAGAGAAAAGTTAGCGAGAAAAGGGGAAAAAAAGGAAGCACACAAAAGTGGACTCAAGGAAGAAAAATGGGTCATTTCCAGAGATACATACAATTATTTAGTGTGCTATATTATGATTACTCTCGTGTTTTGATTTCCTGAAAGAAATACTAAAGGTTTTTCAAACCTGTATTATTAATAAAATGTATTTTCTTTTTTCTTCATAGATGGCTATGTCCTTCGGAGTTATCTCGTGGACAAGTAAGCCCATTTTCTTTTACTACTATGCATGTGAAAAGAATTTTGTGCCTTTCTTTGAAAAAGTGTTCTAATCTTATTTAAATAACATAGCCTACCAAACTATCATAAATAAATTTTAAAACAATATGCTATACTAATGTTAACATGTTAGTATCTGTAATAAAGTTAAGGTTTTCATAAAGTGCTACTCTTTTAAATAGGCAAGAAGCCCTTCTCATTTAAAATTATACAGCTGATAGTTAATAGTTTTCTGTATTCATTAGACTCTCAGGAAACACTGAAGACAGACAGGTCAAAGCCAGTAACCTTTTCATTAATACTTTGCATTTTACTTGCTAATGCAATTGGTTGAATGCAGTTAATTTGGGACCACTTAGTGAGTTCACTGTAGGTGCTAATATCACCTGTTAACAGTTCATAGTTTAGCCCTTTATTAAGGGCTTTGCTTCACACTAGGCATAGTAGAGTACTATGTTGCCTTTTTTGGAAGCATGCCAGAAAAAAAGACAGTTGTAAATGATTCTTCTATTTTTATGAATAAGACATTGTCACAGTCTGTCACAGTCTGGTACTAGTGTGTCTCTGGAGTCCCCCAAGACATAAGATTCTGTCCCAAGTAACCCAGTGCAAGAAATGAACTCCATTGTCAGGTTAGGTAACATGCCAATGCAAAGATTTACAGAATTCAGCTCAATGAAAAGATCCCGAAGGAGTCACAAACTGTGTACCCATCACAGCCTGACACCAATCAGAAAAAGACAAATCAATGTAAAGAGCTTTGTTAGCAAACTAGTGGAGGCCAAAGAAAAATAATCATAATACCTTTATTCTCAGCACATTAATCACAGTGGGAGGCATGAGACTTTCAGTAGGTTTTGTTCTATGAAAGATACAAAGTTTAAGGACAGAATGTGTAGCAAATAATAGGACAACATCTTCATCAGTGATTATTACAGGCTGATTGAGAGAATTTAGAAAGGACACTCTGTAGTAATTGTTGGTTCACCACCTATTGAAGTGAATACTTAATAAATGTTTATCGTACAAATGACAGAAAAATCTGTCCTTGTTGCATTTGGATGAGATTTCCGTTAGCCAAACCCTCTTTCCTTCCATCTCAGCGAAAAGATCCAAACAGAAGACATAGGGAACTCACAACATCTGCCATACTTGGCAGCAGTTTGAAGGGCCTGCTGCTGCTTCCATGATAAAGCACAGAGATTGTACAGCGAAGAGTTGGTCTGGTCTAAGAGACAAAGCCACCCTACATTTCTGAATTTTAGAAGTATATCTTACATTTCAAGGGAATATTCATGTTTGTAATACTCAATTTTTATTTCTTATATAATCTCCTGTTTAATTATAAGGTACTTAAAAGCAAAGCTTGTCTCTTACTCATATTTATGTCTCCTGGTACATAGAAGGGACTCAGTATGTGTGTTGGATGGAAAATATCACAAAGATTCAGGGCCAGGCAAAACCTAAAATGTGTAAAAGTAGCAAAACTGCTATTATGGATGCTGCGTACAATCATAAGTAATAGTTTTAAAATTACATAAGAGTCACCATAATCATATCTTGGCTACATATTCTGTAACTAATATTTATATATTTTATCATATGCATGAGTTATAATTAGAAACATGAAAATGATGAGGCCATTTCCTATACCAATTATTATTGTATTTCATTCACCATTTGCAATTCAAGTGAAAGCATGAATCTGATATTAATAGATACTGCAGCTTTGAATTAAAGCCCCCAATGGGAGTATTACATCATGATGTTCGGTACCTTGTTAACAAACATGTCTTGCAAAGATGAGTAAGGCATAGTCTGTGCTCTTGAAGCATGTTTAATTATTCTGTATGTAAAATGAAACAGAGGATTAGATTAAGTCAATGAAAGAAGAGATAATATCAAATTTATTTATACTTATAAATGCATACTATGCTTATCAAGCCTTAAATTGTGTCATATAAAATCATACTGTTACTCTTTTCTTCTATGTATTGCTCTAATGCTAAGAAGATAGCTTCTTTAAGATAAAAATTATTTTTACATTTACAGTGATGGAGAGATCTATGATGATATTGCTGATGGTAAGTCTTATATAATACTACCACAGAGAACAGTAACAGTGAATTTTCTGTTTTTTCAAATACTAAAAATAGCTTATTGGATTAGAGTCTCCCAATGTGATCAGAATTTGAATCGCTTGAAAATAGAAAAGGTAAATGCCCTGGCATAATGGGGGGAAAATACCAGATTTCCAACAGGATGGGAAATTAAGGGAAAACCTCATTTACTTTCTTTGAGAACAGAAGTATGAAAATAATTGGTAAATTTTTCATTGTACTGTGAATCATAATAAGAATTTCTTTTATCCAAATAAATAAGCATTTTTGGCAAATAAAGAGGTACCTATTTCATAACCAGTAATACTAATATTCTAGAAGCATCATATAGTTCCAAACTATAATCTAAAAAATTAATCTAGTTGAAATGGGGCATAGTGTTGATCATGATGCCCTTTAGTCTTTTAAATTTATAATTCTTGCTCTTTAATATCTTCAACCTCATTCAGAGTGACTACCAAAAAGTATCTCTGATTAAGTGCCACATAAAATAATCTTGAGTCTCATTTTAATAGAGAATAAATCCATCCAGATGTTTTGTTGGAATTATATACTAAATAAAAAAAGTTAAATATATGGCCTTCCATTTAACTCATTTTTTATAAAGTGAGACAATTTTTTTTTAATCCTTAGCCAGGAGAAGATGAAACACTCATATTTCCAAACTTGGGATACTTTGTAAGTTTTTTATAACAATATTTAAATTTGTGTTTTTGTCTTTCAGGTTGTATATATGACAATGACTAGCACTCAACTTTGGTCATTCTGCCGTGTTCAGTAGGTGCCAATATGAAGTCTGAATTTTAATTGGCATGTTATTGGGTATCAAGAAAATTGATGCACAAAACCACTTATTATCATTTGTTATGAAATCCCAATTATCTTTACAAAGTTCTAAAATTTTAAGCACAGAAAATGATCTTTCTGCTTAATTGCTATCTCAGAAGACTACATTAGTGAGATGTAAGAATTATTAAATATCCCATTTCTTCTTTGGCTACAATTATGAAGAATTTGAAGATACTTATTTTAGAAGATCAATAAGTAATCCCCCTTCAAAAAATAAAAAGAAAAGAAAAAGGAAAATCATTCAAGAAGAAATGACCTGTCTAAAAAACCTAAGGAAGAATAATAATACACAGAAGGAAATTTTAAAACATTCCACAAAAGAAAAAGTATTGCTTCTACTTCTAATTATGATTATGTCTTATATTCTCCATTCAAATGGCCTGTCTTTTAAAAAGGCAGTGCTGTTTTTTCTCTGGCTTGTGGGTTAAATGTTTTAAAAACTTATAGCAGTAGTAGAACTTTTGCATAAAATTTGCCCCATTTGGTAATTATATATACATGTTAATTATTTGATACGAATGTTATGCATTTAGTATGCACATTGAAGTCTAAACTGTAGAAGAGTCCGAAACAAGTTCTCTTTTTGCAGATTCACATGCTAACGATTTAATTCTATGCTCTGTTTAAAGTACTATTATAACTAGAGTATATCTGAATGAGGACAACCCTAAAATTATGAGGAGTCGAAGAATGGACCTTGAAACTAACTAGGCTTTTATGGCTCAGCACCTCTTTATGATGAAGACACTTTTTAAAGTTTTTGTTTCACTTACTGCTACATTTTTTTCTTTATTTTCTTTCTTTCTTTCTTTCTTTCTTTTTGAGATGGAGTCTTACTCTGTTGCCCAGGCTGAGTGCAGTGATGCAATCTCAGCTCACTGCAACCTCTGCCTTCCAGGTTCAAGTGATTCTCCTGCCTCAGCCTCCCGAGTAACTAGGACTACAGACACCTATGACCATGCCCAGTGAATTTTTTTGTATTTTTAGTAGAGACAGGTTTTCACCCCTTAGCCAGGTCTCAATCTCCTGGCCTCATGATCCACCCACATCAGCCTCCCAATTTTTCTTTAAAAAACAAAAACAAAAACAGTTTACTGGAAAGTTGGCCAGCAGAGGAAGTAGAAATTATTAAAACTCTAGTATTTGGATCGGGCCATTCCCTATCAGGACTTACTCATTTCCAAAGCAATCCAAAAACAAAATGTGAAGCATTTGGGTTTCAAATGCTAAGAACACTAAATATCATGATTTAAAGAATGGAAAATCCTAACACCCAAGAAAATAATACATTAAGTAACTTTTTAACAACTTCTAAAGTACAAAATGAGCAAATCCTAATGCTGGCTCTTACACTAATGAACTGGGATGTGATATTGAATAAATTATTTATCTTCTCAGTCTTCTCACCTGTAAATTACAAGATTAGACTAAGTAAGTTTTTCCAACACTTCACTACCAATTACCTTAGGCTTTTATAATGCTCCCCCTAATTTAGTCCCATGTTTCAGAAGCTTTTGTCTATTTTTTAAACTCATTGATTAAATAATGATTAATGCATTCTCCACATTTTAATATTGCAAAGGCCCATTGGAGTTTCTGAAGCAGCCCCACAGAACTGAAATAATTTCAAATAACTATAAAGGAATTGAAAATCTTCACAGAGATGAAGTGGGATTTCTATTAGGTACTTTGAAATTTGAGAGTAAACCATCAACTTCCACTGGTAAATATATATATTTTGGGTGTCTGAGGCCCCCCAGATTAGAAGTCACTAATCTCCAAAGATTCTCTCCAATTATGAAATACTTTGATGTCTACTTTTAGATAGTCAGTATGACCATGTAATGAATTTCTTTTCATAGTAGACGAAATTACCTGGTTCAAACGTGGTTTTTGTTTATTAAATTTGATAGTAAATGTATATATAATACACAGACAGGATAGTTTTTATGCTGAATTTTTTGGCCAGCTCTGGTTTGAGGACACCTTGATAACCTTGCTAAATCTTCAGAGTGCTCTGAAACACTTCCAACCATCCTTCCTCCTACCTTCAGTGGGGCAGACTCACATTGCAGTCTGCCAGTAATTTTTTTTCTGATTGAGGATTACATAAATTCAATATTCTGCCAGTTTTATAAGTTGAAGTTAGATCAAGATAATATTTCATAGTTTTGGTTTATACATCAAGAAAACAGATACACACACCTAGGAAAGATTTATATAATAGATAATCATCTTAATGTGAAAGGTATATTTGAAGTATTAATTTTAATATATTAAATATGATTTATGTTATAGTCTTGTGTATGGAATTTTGTCACTTGAGATGATCTGCAAATAAATAATACCTTCAATGGATAACCTTGCCTCCTACTTCATAAAAAAAATTGAGGCTAGCCAAGCTCAGTGGCTCACGTCTGTAATCCCAGCACTTTGGGAGTCTAAGGAAGGCAGATTTCATGAGCCCAGGAGTTCCAGACTAGCCGGGACAACATGGCAAAACCCTGTCTCTACAATAAATACAATAAATTATCTGGGTGTGGTGGCACATGCCTGTAGTTCCAGCTACTTCAGAGGCTGAGGTGGGAGGATCACTGGAGCACAAGAGGTTGAGGCTGCAATAAGCCATAATTGTGCCACTGTCTCAAAAAAAAAAAAACTGATCCTGTCTCAAAAGAGAAGAAAATATATATATATATTTAATTAAAAATATATTTAATATATATTTTTATATATAAAAAATATATATTTTTTATATAATATATATTTTATATATATTTATATAAATATATATTTTAAAATATATTTAAATATATTTAAAAAATATATTTAAATTAAATATATATTTAATTAAAATATATATAATTAAAATATATTTGAGACTGACCCTGTCTCAAAAAAGGAGAAAATATATATTTAATTAAAAACATATATTTTTAATATTTTTATTAAAATTTTAATTTATCTATTATATATTTATTAAAATTTTAATTAAAATATATATTTTTAATTAAATATATATATATTTTTTAATATTGAGGCCATCAGGCTTTTTCTCCCTTAACTTGATCCCACATCTCAAAAGAGTCTTTCTCGGCATCCAACCTTGCCTCTTAACTTCAGCCTCAGACAATGGGATATCTCCTCTTCAAGACCAAGCCTCCTACCAGGGCTCCTAACACTTTGCTCCTCTGTTGTGTCAGAAATTAAGATAACTAAATGCAATTCCTTTCAGTTCCCTACAACCTTCGACCTTAACCCATATCCAGACACTCTCCCAGAGAATAAGATGTCATGCCTCAAATTCAAACCCATAAGCTTTGGATCCTATTTCTTCCTGCCTTTTCTGGAGTGTTTGTCCTTTACAATTTATTCTTTCTGATTCTCTTTCTCCCTCCCTCTCTTTATCCCTCTTCTTTAAGTTCTCCCACTATACAGATTCCTTTCTCTAGGCTTACAAACACTGAAATCTTTCCCATCTAAAAAGCAGCATGAAACTTTGCCTTAGGCCCAAATACCTGTCCAGCTATGGCCCATTTGGATTTTTTTCCCCTCATTTCATTGTCTTAAAATGACAGGGTACATGTGGCAGCCAAGAGAATGTGCCTCAAAGACCTCCAACTATGGGACATTTAATTGTCCAAAAGGTCCCACCTGCTGTATTCTGAATCCGTCACAATGTTTGTGCCAAGACCAGTCTTCCCACAGGCTGCTCTAGCCAATGACTGAGTGTTGCAGGGATACTAAGGCAGGCCTGTTGCTGAAAGATACAGAACTCCTCACATGGCCAACTTCAGTTTGAGGACTCCCTCACAAGCTTGCTAACCCCGCAGAATGCTCTGAGATACTTCTAACCATCCCTCTTCCTGCCTTTATTGGTGAAGATTTGCATAGCAGTGTGAGAGCTCATCCAGCCTTCTCCAGCTCCCTTCCCATTTCCTCTCACACATGTATTCTTCCCACCCACATATGTTTTCCTCTCCTCCCATTTTTACTCCGTCTTGGTGTCTGCTTTCCAGAGGACAGGACATCTGAAGAGTTCATAAAAATATAAATTTTTCTCTGCAGATCAACAAATAAAAATCTCTAGGGAAAAAAACTTTGGAATTCATTTTCCCTTAATTCTAAATATGAGTTTGATGCTCAGTCAAGTTTGAGAATCTCCCATCTCTATTCATCCTTTGCCATATGCTCAGGGTATATCAGTCTTCAACTTACTACACCTTGATCTCTGGTATGATTACTCTGAAGTCATCTCTACGTGATATCCCACAGGTGCCTGTAACTCATGGAACTCAAAAACAAACCTCTTTCCCTCTTTTAAACTAATTATCCTTCCTGTAGATTCTACCTCAATGACATCTGAATCATCCAGTCAACCAAGCTCAAAATATGGAGGCTGCTCTCTTTCTTCTCTTTTATTCTCCATATCCAACGAAATTTCATTAAACAGAGCTCCTAGAAAACAAATGATTTTTGTCTTGTTTTTATATTTCTTACTTTATGTCATATTTGAAGCCCTTTATTATATATTTAATAATGAAAAAATAAATAAATGCTGTGTCTGCAAGGACTGTGTTAATTCTGTGGGCTGCCACTGTAATTCTTTCTTAATTACTATTTCAGATGCCATAAGAGATTAATTAAATTAATGACCAAGAAATGTCTGTTTGATTTACCAACATGTATGTCATTGGCCACCTTAGAAAGATTCACTGAAGCAATCAAGACCAAGCTGAGTGCATTGATGTCACTGTCAGGCTTTCTGGAAACGGGGATAGAGTTTGAGGAAAGAGATGTCTATTAAGGATCAGTATCTGCGAAAGGAAGGGGAGGAAGCAAGATTGGGCAGAGAAGAAGGTTGAACGTGATGCAAGCCTGAAAATGCTTCAGCCGACCAGACTGGGGCCTCTGGAGTAAATGTGGCCCAATACTTACCTTCCTTCAGGCCAAAATAGCCAGTCTTTGTGACTTTGCCTTGCTCTTCATTATCTGTGGACCATCCTGGAAAGGTCATGACCTGTACAAGATGACATTGCACAGTCATGAACAGTTTCCATTCTGTTCTCTCCAGGAAAACACTAGGCTGTATTTACATTCTCCTAAAGTAGGCTGGAGCATAGGCACAATCTTCAGCTTCATTTGCACATTTGGAGAAATGAATAGATGCGCAACAAGTACTTCTCATCTTTGGGGATTCATCTGCAACCAGTAATTCCT